ATTAATGTAACAAAGAATTAACAAAAGAAACTTAAAAAATAAATTGTAGAACGAAATCCTTTCATAAAGTGTAGTTGAAAACTGTAGAAAATTTTTATGATACGATAATGTAGACTACGTATAATAATTATGTGAATAATATATATTTTTTACAGAAAGTCAAGGGATTCGCGGATCAATTATACGACATGTGGCAGGGACAAGGCACTGAGATTTATTGGGAGCAAAACTTCATTTGCCCCACTGAGTATCAATACAAAAAGATGACACATATGAGTAATATATAACTTATACATCTTTCTAACCTCTACGTTTTTACAAATCTGTCCTATATAAATATCGTTACTATCAGATGAACGAACATCTCACTGATAATATTATACATTAAACAGACTTTATATTTACAACAAACTTAAATTTATCATAACAGTTTTAGAGAAATTTAATTTAAATGTGAATGTTTTTCCAATTAACGATGATCATTATATTTTCTTCGAAAAAAAAATTATATCTAATTATTATGTGTTTTACAGTTTTACTATTCCAGTTAAACAGCAATGGCAGTTTCTGTGAAGATTTATCAGAAGGAAAGTTCTCCTTACCCATCATACATGCATCCAAAACATCAGTGTGAAGCGAAGTTTTACGTGAGTACACTAAAACTCAGTTACTAATTGTATACATATACCAGAACGTATTTATGTGGATCAAACATTGCAGTTTTATGTAACCCTTCGATAAATACGGAATCATTATTCTTCATAATTGTATCAGGTTATTTCATAAACTTTTACATATCAATTTAAAATCAAGAGTTTTAAGAACTTCATGTGATTTTTTACTCGTTCCACCAAATAAGGTCCGCTTATAAAGTTTCTTCCTTGATCCTCTGTTTCCAATAAAGATTGGTGTTAATTTTTGTCATTATTTATGGTGTTTGGTAAATAAGTATAAACATAACCAGATTTTAATTCAGTGATAGTAAAGTTTTTTGTGATCATATTTTTATTACTATCAGGTATGTTACGGCAGCGTACCCATGATGTTGACCTGAAGAAATACTGTATGTGTTTGTTGTAGAAGGCGGGCAGCATACAGTATACGAGAAACAGACTCAGTGAACTTGATCGAGAAGCTCGGGCTGAGGTGGATCAAGTATATACAGTATACACATAGTATTCATTGAAGTATGGTTGTTTTAAATTGAAGTATACAAACTAGGTTTCTTACAGGTCGCCTGTTTAGTTGGAAACCCACTACTGGAAAAATGTTTGGATGATCTCAGCAGCTGGAAGGATGATATAATGATCAAATAGCTATCACATTAACTTGTTACACGAGACACTGATGTAACAAATAATAATAATTAAATGGTGTGGGGTAAAAAGACTCGCAAGTCTCCAAAACTTATTTTTCTTCTTTTGTGTATCAGATATTATAAGACATGAATATAAAATCATTTTTTGTGTTTTTACTATTTCAACAAATTATTTTAATATATAACAAGACCCTTCCCAATTTATTAAAAATAATTTATGAACGTTCTTGTCACAATAATCAAAGTGGGCTAAACATATTATATTCTTTCCTTTTATTTACAGAAAAAAATAATGTAAGTAATTGTGTGATGATTCTTAGTCATTAAAATCTAATGAGAAAAACAACCACATGAATGAGTGTTAAAGTTTTATTAATATATAAGGGCTATCATATAGATAAGAATTTAATCCAATACAAAAATACATAATTTTTTAAACAATTAATCATTATACTTTTGTTAGCAAACTAAATCATTTCTAAATATGTATTATTATATTAAGAATTCAGATAATATAACTATTTAGTGACAAATTTATATTAAATAATGACGTAGTATTTTGTCAACCTCAAGTCTGAGCATAAATGACAACAAGGTAATCTTTTGTTTCAAATTAGAATTAATTCTCTTACTATACTAATGTGTTTTATGTTAGTATCAACGAGGATTGTATATTTGATCCCACAAATAATATTTAAATGTATTTTCACATATATCCGTACCTACATTATGAGTTAACATTTGAATGATAGCATTAATAAAATATGTCATAAAAATACATATAACATTTAATTTCAATAAATACTGTTACTAGCAGACGGGAGAGATTCAACAAAATGAAATTATGTTTCAGAAAAGCTAATTTCACAGAAACTTAGCTAAGGGGTGCTTTATTTTCGCTTGAAACGACTTCAATGTATCACAGCAATGCAACGTAAAATCTAATATTTTTTAATAAATCGTAAACTAGGATTAACCGTTACTACGATACATAACATTAAGTTTTAAATACATTCCGTCGTCGCGTATAAAAATCTTATCGATTTAGTATCGTAATTTCACTTAACCTTTCCTTAAGTCATTGCCCTGTCATTACTAATTACTTGTTGAAGGTCGATATCTATTACTTTACTTATTACCCAGTATGGGGTAAGAGTTAAGACTAAGGTTTTGTATGAAATGCTTCAGTAATTTCCAGTATTATTCTGTTCTGCTTCATTAGTATCCGTAATAGATATCAATTAGTTCCTTTCATAAACACAAACACTCCTTCACGTCGTGTCTACTGTCACTAATACTGTTATCTATATATCTTTATATCTATCTATATATTAATAAAGAGGAAAAATTTGTTTGTTTATTTGTTATGAATAGGCTCCGAAACTGCTGAACCGATTTCAAAAATTCTTTCACCTTTGGAACGCTACATTATTCCCGAGTAATATAAGCTATATAATATTTAAATAAAAATTAGGGATCCTTACTCCAATAATGTAACCCAAAGTGTAAAAAAATGATCTGAAAAATTCCTTACGTCGCGTGCGCTGCGAAAACTATTGATGTTCTAGCGTTAAATATTTGTTCTAGCGTTTTTGAAATTTCGACCAGTGAGGGGGTAAAATAAGGGTTGAAAGTTTGTATGGAATTTCTTAATTTTAAAAGATATAACCATGAAAATTTTTATTTAAGCACTTGATAAGATATATTTAAACATTTGTTCTAGCGTTTTTGAAATTTAAAATCGTTTGTTATTTTTACCACCGTGGGGATGAAATTCTACACACGGAATTCCCGAAATTCGAACAGAACGGAACAGGAACTACGAAGCTAAACTTTTTGTATACAAAATTTTAACCACTGAACCTAGGAACATCATATTTAGAAGTTTTAGGTGTATCAAGTTAAAAAAAATTGGCTTTTTAAGTTAAAGTTCCTTTAAACGAATAGATAATCTGCATCAAAACCCCTTCACATGAAAGTCGTTGTTATGGAGTAAAACTAATTAATTAATATAGTCTTATTAATAAGCTTTCTTTTCTATATTTTTTAATTATTTTTTGCAAACCATAATATATATTAAAAGGCATCAAAGTTAATTCATGTTCAATGGTGTTACTTTGGCCCAGTACATTACTTCAATTCAATGCCACATTACTTGAAAGTATTACTAATATTATAAATGCGAAAGTAACTCTGTCTGTCTGTCTGTCTGTTACCCTTTCACGCCTAAACCACTGAACTGATTTGAATGAAATTTGGTACAAAGTCTTATAATGAAATGCTAAATGAAAGTATGAATTGAAGTGGTTGTTTTAAAAAGGTGTTTATTCCCTTTATAAAATTTTACAGATTTTCGTATAAGTATGTACAGTTTTCATAATTCACTTTAATACTTCTAAACTTTTGTTGACTATTGTTTCAAACTAAGTTCACACTAGCGTATTTTAATGCTCGTGACTACATATATCCACTCATTGATTAGTTCTAGATAGTATAAATACGAAGCATTGACTGTTATCCGTCTTTTCTTTTAAGTCTGTCTCTATGTGTTGGTGTATATACTTCATTTAAATATAATCAATTCCAGATGTATTTTGGTTAAAGTCCAAGCTAATAATTTCGTCCCGAGGGTGACTATTAAACCTACCCTGGCCTCTTCGAGCTCTTCCGTTCGGGACCTTCAGAAAATATCACCTTCTCTAGTGCTTCGATTAACCAAATATGTGTTTAAAATACATATATTGTGTTTCTCTATATTTACTTTACGTATATAGATTTCAATTAGTTGTAAGTTGGGTATAAGACATTGTATACATTCCAATGTTTTGCCTATTAGTTTCAATCAGTGAGATCAAAATACATAGATGACACGTTTCAAGATAGCTGCCTTAAGTAAAACGTTTACAACTTGCCTATAATAAAAAAAATCTTAAATTCTGACTTTAATTTACAATTTTTTAATACTTTAGATATACTTATAATAACTAACCTGTTAATTGTTAAGTGATTGAGATTAATTTTAATTATTAACAAGTGTTTAAACTGAAGCGTTTATTGTTTATCAATTGCTCTAATCGCAACTTTTAATGGAACCTCGACTATTTCGAATACGTCTGGGATTTATTTCAAAGTCTCTCGACTGTGATTTAAAGCTTGCTATATCTTTAACCCTTGGTCACCTAACGTGTATTCTAGTAACACATCCACCTAATGTCGGTCATGGTGACCGATTGTGTATAAGTACTATTATGAAGGTGAAAAGGTCATAATTTGGTAAAAATAAAACTACATCATATTTTTCAGTTGTTTTATTTTAATTTTTTTAAAATAAACTCTTCAAGTTAACACTTTTTATTTATTATTATTATATATGAAAGTTGACTAACAAATATTTTAACAAACTATAGATTTTTTAATTGGGCTGAGATCTAAGCAATAACAATCAATAGATTTACTTAGTTTTAAATTATTTTACTAACTTAAATATGTAACTTCTTATATAAAACTATCATTGGCCCAATCAAATCACAATAATTAAAAAATTACAGCCTCCAAACATTTACAATTTCTCGCGGCAGCTTACACACATTTTTTGAGAAAACTCAACGCAAATCGGAATTTTGCACTGAAAACACAAATTGAATGTTGTACATTTCTTTTTTGGATCACACGTTGAGCAAGTTTAGCGTTTTTCCAACTTGTCAGAACTGTCTGCTGATGATGTTCTTGGTTCTTCATCTATTTTGAGAACCCGGCCAATAGTATTCTGAAGTTCCCTTTGCAATCCAAACTGGTTTATTCGACGTCTTAAATAAGGTTCGACAAGATCTTCAGTCAGTCTTTTTGTGTTCCTTTTCAATCCTGGAGGTTGGAGGTTGAAAGTCCTTGATCGCGAAACTGGAGGTTGAGACGACCAACGGAACCGATTTTTTCCGTAATAGTTCCTGTACCTTGCCAATAGAACATCATCATCGGAAGATGCATCGTCAACTGGCAGATCATCATCATCTTCTCTTAGCTCATAAACATCAATTTCAGAGTCCGATTGACACTCTCCATCAATGACGTGGTCTAATGGTACATCTTCTACGTCACTGCAATCTTCATTTGGTATTTCCGGCACGTCCCTTTCATCCTCTGAATCTGAATCACACTCCTCCAACCATCTACTGATATTTTGATCACGTACAGACATAATAAACCTAACAAACAACAGAAAAATGTTAACACAAAAAGTAACGTAACATCCTAACGCCGGTCACCATGACCGCAAACGAAATATATTTAACTGAATTTTTTCACTGCGCGCACGTGTTGCTTCGTCGAGCGTAGGGTGAAAACTGGACAGGGAGGGGGAAAAGTACATGAAGTCACAGGCGTGTGGGCCGCGTAAAAACGGAATTATTTGAAAAAATATATCGCGTGGAGTCACTGTGACCGACGCTAGGTGGTTAAGGGTTAAATAGCTCGATTTATCGAAGTAAAATAATGCAACAAAAGAATCGATTACAACGTTAACTTTCCACATCGTATCGTTTATCTTTTAAGCTCATTTATGCCTTTGAACTGAATACTGTTCCGAAGGCGAAGTTGTTAGGATACAAATACTGAATGATGAAAACTTAGATCCGCGAGAGTAGTGTACTCTTAAATAAAGGTTAATCTATACTAATATTATAAAGCTGAAGAGTTTGTTTGTTTGTTTGTTTGTTTGAAAGCGCTAATCTCCGAAACTACTGGTTCGAATTGAATAATTCTTTTTGTGTTGGATAGTCCAGTTATCGAGGAAGGCTGTAGGCTACATAACATCACGCTACGACCAATAGGAGCAAAGATATAGTGGTAAATGTGTAAAAAACGGGAGAAATTATTTCATCTTTGAAGCCTTCCGTTGCGTGCGCCGTGAAAACGGTTCAAGATACACAAAAAATATGTATGAAAGAATAATAGCTCTTTTAATGATCTAAAAAACTGTCCGCAACTGTATATGTCTATCTTTTCAGATTAACTCACAAAAACCGTTTTTATGGTACCTAATTTGGTCGAAATAATTTGTTTAAGTTGTATCAAAATAATAATATTTATCTTTATTCAAATAAACAAATAAAATATGTTGTTGGTAAAGAGTACTTCATTGTGAATAAAAAAAACATAGGTTTTATCCTGAAAATTCTACGGGAACTCGACCATTCGATTCGAACTATGTGGGAAGAACCAAAAATCTGCCGGAAGTCACTATTCCACGGGACGGAGTCGCGGCAAAAGCTAGTTATATATACAAATAAACCAGATTAAAGTGATTGATTATAATATTGTGAATAAAATCAAATCAAATAAATCTTTAATGAAATTGACACGGATAGAAAACTAATGGAATGGAAATAAAATAACCCACTTTTACATTAACCTTTGCATTATTTTTTATTGAACGTCCTTTATTAAAAACATCTTTTCGACGTGGAGGATGTCGCGAGCACATAAATTTAAATAAAAACGATTTTCGGGCGATAAAAGCCGTCAACAATTGGTCACAATTAATTTACCTGAACAGTCAATAAAAAGTAAAAGTATCTCTTCATTAAATTATCTTTTAAATCTGGATAAGAACCGTTTAATAAAATATTAAAGAAATCAAAGGGAAAAGAAATTAAGTGAAGTAATTTATTAATTGTTAAAATGAAATAAAACGAGTTTTTAAATTATAGACACCTGAACTTTTTTGATTTTATTCTGGGAAAATAATATTGGAAACATTATCTCTAGCAAAGTAAACTCCGGGTGTGATATTATAATGTATAAAATATTTGAATGCACCACTGTTATATATCCTGATAGGACATGTACCACTGTAAACTACATCAGAGACACATATTTAACGTCCATACAAATACAACTCTGGGAAATTTATTAAAACACGAACAGTCCGCAATAAAATCAATTTACATCTGTGCTGTTCAACATTATTCTGAAATACGAGTATTACTTTTAAATTCATATTAGAATGTATTTCCCATTAACAGAAGTATATTTATAAATTTTTATTAACTTTTTAATCCTCAGACTAGTTTAGTGTGTACATCATACTTAAAGCACTTCAGTTCTGTGTTTTAAACTTTTCAAAATGAGGTTAACCTCTCAAATTTAGGCATTGTGTCAGGTTTTAAGGTCACATGAAGTATAAAATTATTAAAATTGTGTCTCAACACAATGTAGTCAGTATGTTAATAAATAATAACACATTTTTGTACAAGGGATGATAAGTTGACAATGTTGTATTTTGTAAGAAAAGTCGCCAGTTTACAGATAATAAAACTTACGATTCAGTGTTTTTGTTGTAAATCAATGGCATGACAATTGAATACATTTCATATAATAAAAACATATTTTTTCACTTTTTCCACCATTTCCTATCTCTCTTCCCCAATAACAGGTTGGCAACACATATGCAAAACTATGTTGCGGATGTCCATAGGCGACGTTTAGTATTTTTATAAGGTAGGCCGTTTGCTTGTTTACCCACCACATAAAATTTAGGAAAGGTGGGTGAAAACCCAATAAAAATCTGAGGTCATGTCCAAGAGCTATCTACATTTTATTGGATTAAATCTGTTCTTTGTAGAGACAAAAAGCTGTACAGAAATAAGGTACTGACTTACTTCGGAAAATGTTTTATAATTTTCTACAAAATTACGATGAGCATCAGTCGGACTGTTGTGAAAGACTGCTATTGTTGAATTTTTAAACGATACACGTGTTATATATAAACATTTCTTTAATACATAAATAATATGTAATATTTAATTGAAAATTATATAAACAAAATGTCTTATTAGTTATATTAATATAAGCCTTAAAATACATTTTCACTTCAAGTCTCCAATATCATTAAACAGTCTCCACTTGAGTATTACAAATATTGACCGACCGAGATTAGGTCTCTGATGATAGGAAATTGAAAATTATACATATAAATACCTAAAGGTATAACATTTTATTTAAGGAATACTTTTTGGTTTTTGTAGTAGAATTATTGCATTACAAGTTTGTTAGTTTCTAAGTGATGACATTTGGTTATAAATAATTTAATGTCATAATAAAAAGTTTGAGCTCCTTAAAACGTTTTTATATGTAACTAGAAGACCTGGCGAACTTCGTATCGCCCTATAATCAAGAAATATCTATTACGTTTTTTTATTTATATTTTTGGAGTTTACCTGTAAGCCATAAATCTCCGTGTTTTGAAGTGCGACAGAATGATTGACATAATAGTTAGTTGTCAAATCTAATGTCAAAAAAAACGTTTGTATGGGAAATAGAAAAGGGCTGTTTTTATGGTTTTCCCAGTAATGAATCAATTTTTTTCAGCTTTTATACCTTCCCTGAACCTCCACGAACATTTCAAGACTAAGATAAGATAAATCCGTTCAGCTGTTCTCGAGTTTTAGCGAGATTAAGGAACAGCAACCCATTTTTATATATATAGAAGATTAAAGTATCAGCATTTGGAGTACCAAATGCTGATACTTTAATCTTCTATATATTGTTATTAAGTATAATACCATTATTGTAGGTAAGTACTATAACGTTTTAGTACTTTGGCTATGATTGCTTATGATATTTTAGAGAATCTTTATTACAAGAAGACAAACAAACACGGTTTATATTCCAAAAACTATTCTTTTCTCCTTAAATATTAAATTTTTAATAGTTTAAAAATGCATGTGCCTCTTGATTTTTTCTTAATATCCGTCGACATATTTTTTAACAAAAAATATAAAACTTTAGTATATGTACGTGTATTTCATTATTATTTTCAGTCACAAAGTTGACAAATCTATATTTTAAATAATAGTTTAAGGCTTAGATAAACCATTTTTTTTCATTTCCCTAGAGTCTATGGGGTATAAAGGTATGAACATTGGGTAATACAGGGTGTATGAAAAACTGTGTCAACCCTCTTAACTACGTTATCAGTATCGATAATGTAACACAATAAAACAACTTACATTTACAAACTCCTCAATAAAAATAATAAAATTAAATATTAAATGATTATTATATGTAGAGTAACAAAATGTTTGTAAACCCTGGTATAACACGATGACACGCAATGACGTCATCACAGCTGCTGCGCTACTAGTGACGACCTTGAAGTTACTTTCACATTATTGAAAATATCGATATTTAAAAAATCATAACAAGAAATAAATATTTAATATTCATAATATTTCGATACTTATTTTGATAAATCAAACATTATTATTATGTTTGATTGTAAAACACCATTTTTAACAGAAATAGATTAACGATTTATCCTAATAATACAACATATTATGTAGTTAATTTACCGGAACAAGTTTAAATTATAATATTTATTATTAATAAAAGTTATTTTATATGAAATTATTTTAATGTGAAAAGCATAACTATTTATAGCAATATTGAAAATGTCGATAGAATATTTATCGATATAACAAATTTTTACACTTTCAAATCTCTATTCGAACAACTAACAGAATAGTAATAATAACGCCGGCGGCCCGGCGCCCGCGGTCAATGGTCACGCATGCGCTGTTGCGACTATACGGTGTCTTGACCTTGTATGAGTCAGATGTTTGGTACATTTTTTCGAATAATGTCGATTTAAAATTTATTTAGCCTATGCACTGTAACTGACCTCTGCTTGATATTTTTTAAGTTATACTATTTTTTATAATAAGCTTATACTTATATGTATACATGCCTTCAAGGGTTGACACAGTTTTTCATACACCTTGTATATTTAAATAATACGTGACTGTCACTTCTCAAAATGATGGATGATAGTAGTCTGCCTGCAGATTATATTAAGACGTGAAACAGAACTATTGAAATTTATTCTTGCATATTAAAGTATTCTTGGATATATTTAATTATGTTTTTTACAACGCGTAAAACGTCAGAAACTCTTTTTGAAAACCTTTATTTTATTCCATAACAATAACAATTCCATAAAAGGTTGGCTTTGTAAGTGCGTACATATTAATATGTAGAAACAACAGAGGCGATCGGTAAGCCATTCGGACTCCATTCACTTGCACGTAGAAAGCATTCTTCGACATTTTCTTTTATTCTTGATTAAATCGGACCAGAAGTTTACAAATGTATTTTTTTAATCAGTAAATAATTATTGTTGGCTCAAACAAACATTGTATA